AGGCCCCTGTTCAATGCGAGGCTAAGTGCCAAGCCATTGACAAGAAAATAAATTTTTATTCTCAATTAAATAAAACTTATTTTCACACAACAAAGGTTTTGCACTTATCTTTTTTTTTGAAAGAAAGAGTCTTACGAACTTGGAAATAGTCTATACCATTTCTATTAATGGGTGCTTTTATGTAAAAGGTTGCTTTAAAATTTATCCAAAATCAGCGAGTAGTCTGAATACCTTTGTTTTTAGTAATTGCGTGGTTCACTCGTATTATCCGCGACTGTTAATACTCTTTAATCGGCTAGAATAGGTAACTCAAAACGACCTGGTAAATACAAAGTTGTGTAATTAAGAATTAAATTCAGCAAAATAAAATATTTGGCTCTCGGTTGTCTTTTCAAAGGGATGAAAATGAGGCAGCTCTTTCGTATATCAGTTCTTTTTGTGCTGGGTCAACTACTCTACAAAGCAGTAACTCAACAATGCGGATCCCAGGTATCCATCTTCGGCTGGATGTTAAATGGACACATCTACAACACGATGTCGGCAGAACTCCTGCATACATGCGTACAAGTTTGTCGCGAAGACGATCGATGGCAAAGCTTTAATAGCCTGCGTAGCATGGCGGTTTTGTCGAGCCGGGCGCACGAGCGGCGTAGCCGCGAAATTCGCGCGCGAAGGGCGCGAGAACGAGCGGCGAAGCCGCGAGAAAAATAAAAACCGCCTGCCCGGATTCGTGGCCTTTTCAACTGCTGCCCCCTTCAACTCATATTGACATCCTGTTGACAACTTCTTTGGTTTCAGTTTTCCCAGCCAATCAGAAATAAAGTGTTGACAGCCTAAACACGACACAAAAGCTCGTGATATAGTGTAAAACGTGATCTTAATTTTTTTCCAGCTGCAAAAGACTTTTAAGAAAACTTGCAGAACCACAGCCAGAAAGACAAAACCCCTCAGAAAGCTTTTTTTAATTTATAAAAATTCTCAGTTCTGTTTAAAATGGAGCAGAGCGACATTTAATATATTTGTTCTACTGCAGTAGCAGGCGCATCAATAAATAAATTATTGGAGTCTAAAATTACTCAAAACTAGAGTCAGAATGATGTCTATTTTTCCCACACCATCAACTTCTTACTTTTAGTTCTTGTTTCAATCTTGAGAACTACAACTTCTAACATCCGCCCCAAATGAAACTTTACGCTGACGAAAAATGTCAGCTGTTTTATCCTTATTGGGAATAACTCAATAGAATTCTTAAAAAATAATAAATAAGTGTTTTTAAAACGTCAATTACAACTTAAAAAAACAGTGAAAGTAGTGAAAATTTCGTCTAGATCGTACATAGAGAGAGAAGGCTTCTTTTAGGATCAGAAAAAATGCCAGTATAGTCAGTTGAATAGTATGGTCTCCCGAAAAGTCTTTTGCAGCTATCGAAGCAACTTAAACTATTGCAATTTTTATGCCTTTGGTAGCTTCAAAAGAAACAGTAAAAAACGAATAAACCTAGAATAACGAAAAGCACAATATAATGAGGAAAACTAAGCCTAATTTGCAAGTTTGTTTCCTTAAATAGGTTAGAGATCGGATAAAACGCTTGCTTGCGTTCCCAGACCATTTTACTCACAATGGCTATATATTACGGCCGAATAACCTGCTGAAAACGAACTAAACGAACTCAGTAATAAATAACCAAAATGCTCGATCTTAAAAATATGAAGTTGACAGGTGACATTATATCCTTAGTCAATACTTTACTGTTTCAAAGGGAAAAAATTGAGTATCGGTAACGTAATATTTTTGAATTGAAGTGTCTGTCATAATTCACAGAATGGTTCCTATTAATTAGCTGTATCGTGGCATCGAAGCAAAAGAATAGGGTCTAACAAAGACAAGAGAAATTCAATGATAAGAGAACGTTTTTTCAACGGTTTTGAAAGATATTGTTTAATTCAATAATTTGGGCAATACGTGATCGATCTAAGGTGCTTAATTTAACGTTCAAAGGAAAGAAAATTCTTTTCTACTTTTGGTTCCTGCATTTCGTAAACATTGGTGTATGAAAGACATGTTTAAAAGTTTGCGTTCAAGGAATTATCGATGGGCTCTTAGCAGTACCTGGAAAATATTTTTCACGTTCAAGAAATTGAATAGGTTTTTATCTTTTAAAACTGGCTGTTTTACCTGAATTTTTTTTGCTTTAAACACTCGTTTAATTTGTTGAAAAGAAAAAAAAACTAACAATGCCTTATAAACGATTTTCGTCCACTTTCATTATGTAGTTTTAAAAGTTTTATTTCCAAAGATTATTGTTTTAACTTAAACAGCTTAGTTATTGCGGTGTTTATTACTATCCCGGTTTTTCATTTCAACTAGGCGTTAAGGGAACACCCTTGCAATTGTCGATCGCTTTTAATTGATACTCGAAGATTGTTGGACGATAATGGAAAAAAAAAAAACAAAAAAAAAACGAAACATAATTGAAGTTAGCACATTTTGGGCAGTTACGATTATTCAAGCTCGATTACTCACAGCCAAGTGGAAGGTTAAATTAAGTTACTATAAGAAATTGTGTTTCTGGAGCTCGAAGGACCGAAAAAGTTTATCCTGAGACCACGACCGGATATAAAAACGGAAATTTTTTCCTCCGTTTCAGCATTCCTTCCACACGTCAAAGGTGATTTTCGGCTACCAAAAATGCAGATTTTTGAAAATGGATCCTAGTGGAGTTGGAGTTTTTTTTAAAATGCCCACTTACCGTTTGCGTATGGGCGGACAAAAACGGAGGATACGATGATGACACACATCATACACCTCACGCCCTCAAAGGGCTTATGTATTTCGCTCGTTTGAGCGTTGTCGCACGGACGGGCGAAAACGATTGGTATACGATTCGTGTAGAGGAGAAACGGAGGAAACGTCTCTGTTTTCAAAAATATCCGGATACGTGAGGACGAGGCCTGAAACGATTTTACCTAGTTGTAGTGCCGCATATTTTTCCATTCATTCTCCAATCGTCTAATTTTCTGCTAAGTGTAATTCACTCTTCTAAAATCTTTCAGATTTAAGTTCCTATTAGGAGTTTTTCAGGAATAGAAATATTACAAAAACAAAGAAAATTAACGAAATGCTTGGAAAATGGATGTTAGAAACGATTGAAGAGCAAAAATATATATATTTTTTTAATATAGAAGATGTAAGAAATGCTGACAAGACTAAAAGGCGGAAGTTTTAATACTATTGACTAGAGTTGTGGATACACTTCAAAAGACTTTACGAGATAATTAGTTTATTGACGTCATTACCGTGTTCAGTGGGAATGTAAGGACCTCTTCACATGCAAAATTTCGCCTTGGGTTCATATGAGAAATTTCAGCCCGGTTTTCGAGATGAGGAAAGGTTAAAGAGTTCTGTGGCTAAATGCGGAAAACAAATTAAATATATATCATAGCTTCTGGAAGTCTTAAAGCTGTATCACAGTAGTTAAATGGGGTGCTTATGATGTGGAAAATACAGCAAGCAATGCAAGGCGATGCCATTCAGACCGCCAGAATTCATCCCGCCGTTCATCCCGGTAACCGGGATGATTCGTGTTCACAAGGCAAACGAGATCTCGGTTGGACTGAACCGAGATCTCGGGAACTGAACCAGTCCGCCCTCTCATATAAACACATCAAAAATTTTGCAAAGGATTTAGAGGTAAGGCGAGATATCGGAAACCGGGCCAGCCCGGTCAACCGTGCTCATTTGAAGAGCTTCTTAGCGTTAAGGCGAGATCGCGGAAACCGGACCAGCCCGGTCAACCGGGCTCATATGAAGAGGCCTTAAAGCACGCTCCCGCTACTGAATTTGATTAGGAGAATATTCCAGCTATGTTTTTAAGGTATGTCTTGTCTTTGAAAAACATCTTCCTTTCCCTGGAGCCCTTTCCATGGTAATCAGAAACAGGAAATTAATAAATAATGACGACTTAGCGGTCAGGCTCCTCCACAGAGTGGTTCTTCGTGTACCCGATTCTGCAACAAACTCATTGGAATTTGAAAATAGCCGGGATTTTTGAGGAGACGGAAAAAAAGAAATGCCCGGAGAAAAACGTTTCGGGGTACTCAGCTCGCAGAAGATGTCGCTACTGGGATTCGAACTCAGGCCACATTGGTGGGACTTGAAAGCCCTCACCTCTTCACCAGTTTACATTATTAATATAGCAATCGATAATATTGAAAGTAAAATTAAGGGATACGGGATACGCTCCTTCCGTTGAAGCTTTTGTAGCTTAAGAGTAAAATAAAGTAGTTGAAGGAGTTTGAAAAGTTTACCACTGTTCTTAAAAACTGAGCGACAAGCATAGGAAAAAAAAAAAGCGAGATGGAGATGAACGAGTCAGCTATTATAAGCGGAATTTGTGGTTGAAAATTCAAACCACGGTCAAAGTTCCTGGAAGTACAATCGATCAGAGATAAATTCCCCTGTTTAAACACCACTTGGTGAACGATGCTTATCCTTTAATGGGCAATTATTCATCCCTGGCTAGTTTTAAACTTCGGAAGAAAGGCAATTTGTGATGAAACTCTGACTGCTAGGGTTGAATTCATGAGGCGTTTCCCAATAAGCGATTTCCGATTGCCCCAGGCCTCTGTTTCAATGCGAGGCTAAGTGCGAAGCCATTGACTTGAAAAGGAATTTTTATTCTCAATTAAATAAAACTCATTTTCACAACAAAGTTTTTGTCTTAGCCTTCTTTTGAAAGTGAGAATTTTACGAACTTGGAAATAGTCTATACCATTTCTATTAATGGGTGTTTTTTTGTAAAAGGTTGCTTTAAAATTTATCCAAAATCAGCGAGTAGTCTGAATACCTTTTGTTTTTAGTAATTGCGTGGTTCACTCGCATTATCTGCGACTGTTAATACTCTTTAATCGGCAAGGATAGGTAACTCAAAACGACCTCATAAATACAAAGTTGTGTTATAAAAAATAAAGTATTTGGCTCCCGGTTGTCTTTTCAAAGGGATGAAAATGAGGCAGCTCTTTCGTATATCAGTTCTTTTTGTGCTGGGTCAACTACTCTACAAAGCAGTAACTCAGCAATGCGGATCCCAGGTATTCGTCTTCGGCTGGATGTTAAAGGGACACATCTACAACACGATGTCGGCAGAACTCCCACACACATGCGTACAAGTTTGTCGCGAAGACGATCGATGCCAAAGCTTTAACTGGGTGATATCTTTTCTCAAGTGCGAGTTTAGTAATAGAACCAAGGAAGCCAGACCTGAGGATTTCATTCCCGACCCAGACAGATTTTACTACAAACGTGCATGATAGGAACAGAGGTAAAAACTGTTTACAATTCTTTATTAATTGTTAAATAAATATAATTTTCCACCCCACCCCGCATGGTCCGTTCCGAGTTACATGGTCATGAAGCAACGATTGAGCGTCCTTTTAATGCTGATATCAAGGCAACAGATAACTAAGGAGGATTTTTTTATCCGTCCGGCTGTTACTGAGCTTCCTACCCTGAAGTATGTAGCAAACGGACTGTCTAAACCGACTGTAAATCAAATAAAAGATATAATGAATTGACTTCTTTCAGTGCCTCTAGGTTCCATTCCCGAACTGCCGGCTGAAACCTGTTTAGAAATAAAGATGAGTGAAGGTCATTCCATCAGTCAAAACTATTGGTTTTCTGCCGTTAAACCTGGCACATCTGTCCTCGCTTACTGTAATATGGAGACTGAAGGTGAGTTCACTTTAAATTTATAAGTGATAACATCCGTATCACTCGGTTATGGACAAACAAAGTTGAGGAAGAGAAGAGAATGCTTTGGAGGTGAGGAATGAGTTAGCGTATAACTGAATGATCCCGGGGACTAAACTTAAAAGGATTAAGGCTTTTGCAAATATATATTGTCCATTTTGCATCCTTTGTATTAATTTACACATGCAAATGTGAAATAGACTTATTAAATTTCCCGTAAAGTGGAAGGGCTTACTATATAGGAGTTATCTTTTTTATATTCATCTGTGTAAATGGACGTAATAAGTGAATAAGAATTCGGCGGAAAATGTAAAAATATATCTACAGCAAAGGAGCGGTGGGGAGTCTGGCTTGGTATAAGCTGTCGCTCAGCACTGCTTTTAATATGATGTCCCGCTTGCTTGGACCTAATGTAACGTTGTACTAAAACGCATTGTTATAATTCCCGGTGCTTTTCCGAAACTGCCAAAATTTTCGTCTTTCATGTTCGGGGAATGCATGCGGGTGAAGCTCAAATTCCCCGATCAACTGGAGGTCTAGCTTTCCCGAATGCGATAGAGTACATGCACGCTATGCCAAATAGCGTGCCCTTTAGAACTAATAGAACCAAGAGGCGTACACCAGGCAAGGTCTTTTTGTGTACTGATTAACCGTTTATTCTGGATGGAGAATTTTAGAAACTGTTAACATTGCTATGGGTTACCTCCGTTAATAATGCATTGTACGAGTCAACGCACGTTCCTTTTTAATACGTCAGTCCAATAATTAGACTATGCTTGTTTTCTTTAGCAATTTTTCAGGAAAATGGGGATAAAATAATTGAGTCGAATCGTATACTTCTAGACTAGAATCCGAGGAAGTTTCTAGTTGGTCATCTTGTCTAACTCTAACGTTAGCCTGCGAGCAAAGGCAACTTGCTCCAAGGGTGCTCCTAAACGTCAAACCTTTACTTTTATCATTCAGATATTGACGAATGCACTTCTTCTGTTCCTCTCTGTGACGTAAATGCAACTTGCACCAACAATGACGGATCCTACTACTGTACTTGCAAGATTGGATTTTCCGGAAACGGGAACACTTGCAAAGGTAGGAAACGTTGTCTCCCAGTTCATTTCTAATGCAAGTTGACCTCGATTTAGATTCTTTTTGTGACGCGATGAGGACACATTCGACAAGTTTTAATGCCTTGAAATCTTCATTCATAACATTTTGACGCCATCTTAGCATTCTCTATTTTCCAATTGCCCATAATACACTCTGTTTGCCCCCCAAATTCTGCATAAACCATTGTTTTTAAATGCTCCTGGGAGTATTGCATTTTCCCAAAAGCATTTTAAGACAATAAGTTATGCAAAATTTGGGGGGCAAACAGAGTGTATTATGGGCAATTGGAAAATAGTCAATTGAGCACTGAGCACTGAGACGTGCGGAATCATGGTTGCCATGGCAATTTTGCAATTCTACATGTGAAATTATAAATTAACGCGTAATTCGTCACCCATTATATTACACGAGGAGCCACAAGCGGTGATATTTTTGCACGGCATCTGGCGGCACATCAAAGAATTTGGAATTGAAGGGCAAATTCAGGCCAAGAGCCAGGATCGAAGCTCTGGGACTCTAAGGAAAACAAATTATACTATTTCATTCAACTGGAGCTTCTCCGTCTCAAACATTTAACAAAAATGTTTGGAGAAGAGCAATCTCCAAGGTATTAGAGATTACTTGCAGCGCACATAGAGTAGTATGGCGAGCTCACTGAGATCCACGGCTGGTGCTCAGTGTAAACAAACTACTGTACTGTAGTGGAAGCTAGTCGATAGGGACTCTAAGACAGGTACTCCTTAAATTGTTTGCTTACCTGTACATGTCCTCAAGATTTTTTGAACTTAACATGTAATATTGATTATAAACCTTCTACCGTTTTTTTTATCGAATTTGATCGAATATGTTATTAAACTTGCATACATTCAATGAGCTTATATCTGTGCTTTGCGCTATCTCTTTCGGGCTTTGCCACAAGTGTCATATGACATAAATGATTTGCATAGACTCAAGTTCCATACATGAGCTCTCTTTTAAAAAAGCTGAATAGTGTGAAAGTAGTTGTACCGGATGCGTTTATGTACCCTCATATATGCACTAGGCTATAAATATAATGATCATTTTATTTATTTCGTTTTGATTTTCTTTACTGTAGCATTTTGTGTCATAATCATTCACTATGTTTCGTTTCTAAATGTTAATTTTAGACTTAACAGTGTCTGTTAAACCTGAGAAAGTCTTAGAATGGAAATACTTTATTTTACCTTCCATCTTTAGTTTGTAAACGGCCAAATGGCGGCTATGTCTAAATGTCCGGATTATGTGTGGCGTGAAATTGAACCTTAAGAAATACTATCTAAACGACAAGCTGCCAATAAGTCAATAATTTCAATGCTTACTAATGCCAAAATGCTTAAATAACAATGATAATATTAAAAAGCATAACCATTTTTTATCATTTTTTCCACGATGAAAGCGTTTCCTTTGCGGTCCGCAACTATTTGTGAAGCTGCGATCTCAGCAATTCAAACAATCTTGTGATAGCTTTTTTCTTGTTTGTTCAACAAATAAAAGCCTCGGACTCTCAATAAAAGGGACATTTGTATGTACTCGAACGCTTTAAGTCTATCTTCTGGTGAATAATTACATAAAATCGTACAAAATTAAAGAAATATTCGGGAAAGTGTTTAATTTATAGCCGATTAGCCGATAAAACGCGAAGGACGCGAGTGAAAGGTAAGCTTGCAGTTTCTCGATTAAGCGGAGGACTTGGAGCTATTTTCCTTCTGATTTACTGATCCTTGCCTATTAAGGGATTTTTTAATACCCAAGCTCTAAGCGTAACATGTTGAAACAATAACTTTTGATGTTTTAGAATTGACTTTTGTTTGACTATAAAATGTTCGGTCAGATCGATCACTTACGTAGAAATAGCAACATGCGCATACTTCTTCGGTTTTCAAAGGACTGACAAGGTAAATAGAAATTATTTTTCATCTGCTGAAAAACGACGCATCTTTTCCGCAAGAAATAACTAGAACCTCCCGGACTTACAGGAGACAAAACCAGTCCGCGTGTCCTGCGTGTTGCGCATTTCTTTTGCGTTACGTGCGACTACCTTGGCATGCGCAGAAAATGTGCGCAGTAACAATAGTGGGCACCGTCCTTAATTTCTGCAAGACGGAACACCCGTATATAACGGACAGTTTCTAAAATTTACCCTTTTAATACGGAAACAATGCACTGGACACTTTTCTGTGTCCTAAGGCACAAACTCTGCCAACCCTGCTATTTACGTACCGTCCATTTTCCTTGTCACAATCACGTGCTAGGATATTTTACACTGTTCAAACAATGACAGATTTCTGGGTTTAAGTAGCAGAATAGCTTGATATGTTTGATTTTAAATCAGTCTTTCTTCCCGTGTACTATATAACCATTTAATAATTACTACTCAAGTTTCACTTCCTTGGCTTTTCGGCGCAGTCATTGTTCCTACCCTTCTTCCTCTTTGTCTGCCATAGTCTTCATATCAATACAACATGTGTCCAGGACGTTTTTTTGGAGAGCCCACTTAATACGGTCATCCACACGTTACGGATACAATGACATGTCCCCTAATGTGTCCGTATTAACCGGGTTCTAGTGTTAGTACCTTCTTTTTGAGAGGCAAAATGTTTTTTACTGATCCTTTTTCCAAACTTTTGTTAAAGCAAAAAGCAAATTGACGCCAGGTCCGCATCAACATTGTCAAATTTTCTAGTAAATTCACTCGCCTGGGGTTCTTACTCATGGATCCACAACACTTTGACGATGTTGTGATGCGATTTTATGATCAATAAGAGGACAGACGATAAAGAAACTAGCGTCGATGTGATGAATTGAACCAATTTTAGTGCATAAAATTATTATTTAACCTACTATTTCCCTACTTCATCGCATGTAACAGAGATCACTCATCCACTTGCAAGCGCAGATCGAGGCAGCTAAAGAATGCCTACAGATATATTAGTCTCCCTTTCCCATGTTATTGCTTAACCTTGGTCTGTATGTCTACCAGTGAGTGAAAGCCAGTAATTACCAATCCTCAATTACTCGTATGTAGACAATTATCGTCACAGCCGGACAGGTGCTGGGGGATCTTAGAGCACGTGAAAATTACCCGTTTTGAATCAGTTTATGTACAGTAGATAAAACTTTTCGAAACAATGAATTACAAAAAATATTAAAATATTCAATGATTTTCTAATTTTTTAATAGTTAAATAATTATTTTTTTTATATATACATCAGAATATCAGAATTACGCAAGCCTTAACAGTTCTACCAAAAAGATTACGTACACCCCCGACTATAATTGTGACAAGGGAATCGGACCTGGTTGGTTTCGTTTCGAGGGGTCCGCCGGTACAAGAATGCCAACTTCATGTCCCCAGTATAACAGATGTGGCACAATTGCAACCGGCTGGATGAATGGTGGACACCCCACAGTAGCAGACGGTCAGGTGACCAAGACGGTGTGTTTTCACTATAAATCAGGCTGCTGTCAATGGTCAACAAGCATCAAAGCGAGAAATTGTGGTTCATATTATATCTACCATTTTAATGGTACACCTACTTGTCATCTCCGTTGTGGCACTAACTAAAAACAAGGTGCAAGTGAAAGAGATGTACCGGGAAGTGCGGGATATATATGAATCTGCTAACTTGTTTTAATATTGATGGGTACAGGGATGCACTCTGTAAAATTGGAAACGAAATGCATAGCGACTATAGATACAGTCACTCTCGTCTTG